CTTGGCCGCCCCACCAAGCGACCACCATCTGGTCTCTTGTCCGACCTTGTACCGTCCGTCTCATTCTTCTTCGCCCGACCTCACTTGGTCCGACCTGCGTAATAACCGTCCTTCTTCGCCCAACTTTCTCTTTCGACCAACCGCCGTATCAGCCGTCCTTCTTCGCCCGACTTCCTCTTTCAACCGACCGCCGTATCAGCCGTCCTTCTTCGCCTGACCTCAGTTGGTCCGACCGCGGGCCAACCGACTATGGACCATCCGACCGGACCAACCGATTGCGAACCATCCGATAGCGAACCAACCGACCGGCTTTGTTTGGCTTATCTCCTTAGATGGACAACTGGTTCAACAAACTATCCTCTTGACAGACCTCCGCGTCTGCCGATACTTCTTCTTTGTCCGACCTTCGTCTTGACAGACCTCCGCGTCTGTCGCTACTTCTGCTTTGCTCGACCTTATCACGTCCGACCGCGGACCTTCCGACCTGCTTATCCGACTGCGGACCAACCGACCGGATCAACCCACCGCGGACCAACCGACCTGAGTGCATATTTTCTCCTTTTCCGCCCGACTTCGTGTCCTAACTTCCTTTAAGATCCTACTACCATTATTATTATTATTATTATTATTATTATTATTTGTGCGTAACAATTTTATTTGAGTTGACAGTGAGTTTCTGCCATTGGGATTGTGCGTGTGGCAACTCCCTGTTGTTAGTTGGAATAAACTTTTGAGATAATATGTTTCCTCTCCAATAGATCTAAATCGTTGCATGCCTCACATAATTGTGAGATTTGGAGACTTATACTAAGTATAATGTCATCACTCGCATTACGTGGGCGCTGTCCCTTATTTAATTCATTAAATTGCATAGAATTTATTGAATTCTAACACTCGGTGATCTTTGTAATGTGAGAGAGCTTCCCTGTCCCATGCCCCATGCTCAATGATGATATTATAATCTGAGAGCCAAGTGTCTCGATTCTAATGAAACATGATCCTCAATAAATCTCTCACAATGCAGAACTATCCCACACTCAGTGGCGATAATATAATCCGAGAGTTATTGTCCCTAAGTTGTTAGTTTAAATATTGTATGCATTGTGAAATCATAAACTTTTAGTGATAGATGAATTTGTATTCAACTACATGTAGGTTGTTTCACAAGAGCCTATGTTTAGTTGTTACCAAACTCTTTTACAAAAGAATGTCAGATACATACATTTCATGAGGTTTCACTATTAACTACAAAAGTGAAACATGTACGTAATAAACATCTTATTTCACCATTTATATCATTTATTCAACGTACGCAATCAGATCTTCCAAACCTCGAGCTTCATTTGCTTTGACCAAGGTGTCAATAGTTGATTTCATCAACTCTCTATCAATCTCCAAGCTTATAGGCAAGCTATTAATTCTTGCCATAGCAGTTTTACCAATATGTGGAAGTTTGTAATTAGTTTCACCGTGGCATGTCATGATTTCCCTTAGACATACCTGCAAAGTTAAGAAAATATTATTCAATGTTGTGCTGGTCAGTTCCTTACAGGAATCTGTAATGGAAGCTAGCAATTCATCCATTGCAGTTGCTGATGTTGAAATTTGTAAGGATTGTGTTGCTCTAAACCAACTCAAGTCGTTTATGTTTGTATCGGGGCTGTTCCAGGGCTGGAAAATAAGGTGGATATCAAAGCTATCCGTACTTGCAGCCCTCCTAAAGTTTGGATCATTTTCATCAATCTGTGGCTAACATTGTCTTGTTGTATGAAATCTTTACTAGTTGTTTTCGGCCACTTAGCTTTTAAAGTTGAAAGTACCTACAAATTTGCAATGTAACTTGCCTAATCAAAATGATAAATACAATACCATGTAAATATGTATGCCTTATTGATAATGACAGCCTTTGTGACATCCTTAATGATTGACTTCAAAGGCTTTGTCTCCAATATGCCTGCTGGTCAGTTTTTTTGTATTTTTCTTTGCTGGAACTTGATGGGTAAAAGAAAAAATTTATATTTTCTCATCAAATAAACATTGTCCCTCTTCTCTATAAACGGGCCGGCTCACAACACATAGGAACGTTGTTTTTGTAATGAACCTTTTGCTTTGACATGTTTTGTAAGGTTTTGTTTTATCTGGTGTGAGGTAGCACCTTTTAGCATGACGGGTCATGTAAAAACCATTTTCATCTTGTCCACAACATTTGTAATGCTCTTAAATCGATTAATATTCCTATATGTCTCTATCTCAACAAAATTAAGGTTGTATTTCAGCCTACTTATTCAGTTGAATTCGGTCAGTGCTGATTTGATTGCATTTGTATGAGGCCTGATCAGGCCTTTTTTGGCCCATCTTCTAACTATTGATTTGCTCACATATAACTCTTTTGCCACACTACGGTAATTTCTGTATGGTATTTTTTGAAAGCTAAAATTTTGAAAATTCTGCTTGTTGGCCGCCTTTTTCTAATCTTTTTGGCTTTGTAGAGAAATTGGTGTACCCGATTCTTGTTGTTGTAGTGCACGTTGCCATATTTTTTTTGCTGTGATGCGTGACACTTCATATATTTTTTCTGTTTTATTTATTTTACCATATACCGGATGCCCTTGTATGCTGTTTGACAACAAAACTGTGTCATGTTGTTGAGTTGGCCGGTGGTAAGTTTTTTTTTTTTTTTTGGTCATGTTGAATCCCAAAGCATATTTAGAAACTCCAAATGTAGAGGTACTATTTGTTTTTATAGCTGATGAGACATATATAATCTGATTTTTATGTTGAGGGAGATTAAGTCAATTTTAGGAGAAAAATAAAAAAAATTTACCTTCTACGTATTTCAGGTTTGATTGGACTGATTTTGTTTAAAAGTGACCTTTATTTTCACGACTAAAATAGTCTGAATTGATTTTTTATTGGTAATTTTGTTTAAAAGTGACCTTTTATTACATTTCTTTTTATTATTGCAAGTAGTGCACCTGGAGCAAAACTAATCAAATTGATGAATCATGTTTACGTAAATTTGCATACCATTACATTTTTATTTATTTATTTTTTTTTATTGCAGGTAGTGAACCTGGAGCAAAACTAATCAAATTGATTAATCGTGTTTATGTAAATTTCCATACCATTACATTTTTCTTTTTTTTTTTAATTGCAGGTAGTGAACCTTATTTATTTAATCATGTTTGTTTGTATCAAATCACATTAAATTTTATCATCACCGAGTCTGCACTTTAATTTTCATTTTATAATTTTGGATGATATCATAGTATTTGTTATGTTTTAATTAATATGCACAATTTTGGGGTATTTTGGTCTTTTTAATTTTATTTATATCATATATTAATATATCTAGAAGTACGTGCAAACAATAGGTGTATATCTAGTTAGGAGGCACAAGAACTATTTAACTAATACACATTATCTGTAAATACACTTTATTCTTCTATATATATGTTTTATTTTATTTATAAAATATATTAATTTTTAAAGTTGAGTTTTAAAAAAAATTAAGCATTATCAATTCATATATATTTATTATAGTATAATTTTTATATTATAAATAAATAAAATAGAATAAATTTATTGAAAATTATAAATACGTAAAATAATAAATTAATCAATGTTTAACATAATAAATATTATATATTCATTACATCCCGCCGTAAGGCATCCATTTATTTTTGGCCTAGAATTTAAAATATAAAACTATTATTTTAATTAAAGTGAATAGTTAAAGTAGTATAAAAATAATTTTATTTTTACTTTTTTGGTAAAATAAATAATGATTTGATAATAAAATAAGGGTATTTTGTAAAATAGTAGAGTAATAATTACTAAAAATGAAATGTATACATTAACACACTGACGAAAATGAAGAATGTATACTTTAAGGCTGTACGGAGGAGTATTGAAGATGTATTCTTTTATATTTACATTATTTTCAATGAAATCGTATTATTTAATAAAACTATTTTGTTTGTCCAAGAATTTTTTTTTAATATAATTCTTAATATATATATTTTTATTTTTTTAAAAAAATTAACATTCAATATAAATTATTTTTTTATATTATCAACATAATTTTCTATACGTTATGTTGAAAAAAAAATCTTCAAATCAAAACACTCTATATTTCGTATTAATATAATACTTCAAACTAAAGCAATATACAAACAATTATTCTTCTTACTAAATATCTAAACAATAATAAAATAAATATTTTAGTAATACTTTCATAATTCACAATAATTAATATCAAAATTCTCAAATGATTTACACAGAAATAAAAGACTAAATATTTGAAAAATAAAATATAAAATAATTTTAATAGTTATTTTTAAATTAATTAATTGAATCATATAACAATTAATTAATTGATTCAAATAAAAGCTAATAACTTATAACTAATTGTCAAATATTTCAGATATATTTTAGAAATTAGCTTTTATATCCAATTAACTTTTGAACAAGTGACCTTACCAACGCTAAAATAATTCAATAAGTTAAAAGTCTTTCATAGACTATTTTTCAAATAACTCTCCAAGAAAAAAAAAAAAAGAAAAAAAAAAAAAAATTGTTCGTATAATCAATCTATTTTCAATTCAATTTTTTCTTTTCATTTACTTCTTCGTATAATCAAACATCTATTTTTAATTCAATTTTTTCTTTTCAATCACTTTTCAACATGAGCATAATTTGTATGCTTTTAGCTTAAAACTTAAATTAACATTATTGGATTCACATAATTTTGAATAAAATATACTAGTCTTTCCTAACAAATCATATCAAAATAATATTTAAACAAAAATGTCCCGTTAGAAACACATTCAAACCAAAGCCAAACAAAATCTCGTGCAAATTTGAGGCTATTTCTTAAAACCATTGGCTTTCATGAATCCCATCCCATGGCATCAAAAAATGCATTAAAGAAAAGATTAACACCCTTCTCGAAGCAGAAAAAAACAAATTCTGAGAATTGAAATTGGTGCTACTACTAATAATATCAATAATCTTCTTCTTCTTCTTCTTATTATTATTATTATTATTATTAGCATTCAACAAGGTGTATAAGGTCCCTTGTATGTTCCTCAACTGAAGAAACAAAGAAACTATACACAACAGTGCAAGGTAAGGTTAAGTGTAGTTACCAAGAAAAACTTCACTCTGTGCTACACTTAACACACACTGCATACTTTCTTCTTCGAGGGATTCGGCTCACAGATTTGACATAGGCAAGCCTGCAATGCAATAATAATAATAATAATAAGCACACAAATAACAAACTCACAACACTTCTTATATTGTTTTGTTTGTCTGTCTGTAAATAGGAGGAGGAGAGAGTTTAACCTAAAGCTTTCGAATTGACGATACTCGGCGATGCAGCAGGTGGCGGGGCGTTCTCGTTCAGGAATGGCTCCACATTGTTCGGTTCTGCCCAAACTGGATATCCTTTTATTTTCCCCTGTTGTATCAGAAAACAATATATATGTTGCCTTGAAAGAGAAGCAAGTTTTTGTAATGGTTTATCGAAGGCTGCAGTGTCCGTACCAGGACATTCAGCGCAGCCAGTGTCGCCATTCCTTCACGTGTCCACTGTACAGCATAAATTAAAGATGGAAGCATAAGCATACATTGTTATGGTTGGCTTAGATCCATTGTTGAAGGAAAGAATCGAAAACCTTTGAAGCAGAGGCTATGTGTGGAACCACTATGGCATTCTTCATTTCTGCAAGCCCAGGCTTCATATTTGGCTCGTCCTAATTGAGTTTATGCAAAGAGTACATTACGTCGTCCTTTTGATGTGATTTAGAGACACAAAGTGATGATAAGTGAGTGAATTTTCCAGGGCTGGTTACCTCAAATACATCAAGGCCAACTCGGAACATAGGATTTGCTTTCAAATGCTCGACAAGAGCTGCCTCGTCGATAACAGGGCCCCTGCTGCAGTTGATAAGGATGGCTTCCTGCAAATGTATTTTTCAAGGATATTGATTTATCAGATGATGTCTCTACAAATTTTGGGTAATTACTGGCCATGCTGTTATTCACGTCTTGCCTTCTTCATCTTCGAAAGCCGTTCTTTGTTCACAAGATGGTAAGTAGTTTTATCCAACACTGGATGAAGACTTATCTGCAGAAGCATCGAATAAAATGTGTCACCAAACATACTGTATCCAAACATTTTTCATCAGGTAAGGAATGAAAGCTTACCACATCAGCTTCTAGAAGCACTTCATCCATGGACGACGCCCTTTTCCATGTGACAGGCTGTTCACCGTTGGATTTCAGGAACTCACCATAAGCTGCAGCGTTTCAGATAAGCATTTGGTACATAAATCGGAAGGGGGGATTCAACGAATTCATTGACGAGCAAAACATGCCTGTGATAAACTTCTCAAGACGTGTGGATTGGTAGAGATCGTAGTAGATTAAGTTCATTTTGAACCCTTCAACCTGTATCAGAAAACACTCATTTCAACCTCTCAGCATCGCAATTATAGTGTCGTAAATGTAAGTATGTAACTGCTTCTTTCCTTCCACATACTCTATGATGTGATAATGCAGACTTACCATCATTCTAGCATACGCGGAACCAATACGACCTGCTCCAATAACGCCTACAGTCTGTCCTTTGAGCAAGTTGCCTACAAACCTACAAAGCCAAGAAACATATATCTCTTCATATACGAATATGAATTGGCGATATACAGACGAACAAAGTAAAGGCTACGTACAGATGAGGCAGCCATCCATCGTATAAGCCGGCCCTCATGAACTCATCAGCTTCAACAATTCGTCTTGCTGCAGCTAAAGAGAGTGAAGCTGCTAATTCGGCTGTAGTCTCCGTCAGTACTCCCTGATCGAGTGAAAACCGAACTTAAGTCAGTGAAGAATAAACTACCTAGCAACATACGTGTCTGGCTGACTATACTTTCAACAATACGACAGATCTACTGCACTAATTTCCATTAACAATGAAGTCGATGTTCCAAAATTGAAACCAAGCATTTTATCTTAGTCTTCCTTTCTCAAATATTAGAATTTCCATATTATGTACCTAGCCTCAGATCACAATTCGTTCTTCAAATCAATAAAGGGTATGCGTAGGCTTGATCAGAGCAAATTAACAGCAACAGATCGAAAGGAGAAACGCTCACAGGTGTATTTCCAACAGCAACGCCATGTTTAGTGGCAGCATTGACATCGACATTGTTGTAGCCAACAGCCATATTGCTGAATGCCTTACCTCCTGCTTTGCTCAATGCAGAAAACAAAGTGTCCCCCCAGTCTTCAGTCAGCTGTTTACCAAACCAAACGAAAGCATAAGCTTGAAGAACGCCATGTATGGATGTATGTGTTCGTTTGTTAGTTAGTTAAACTCGAAGGAGATTGCAAAGTGACGAGCTTCACCTGTCCAATGACTCCATCACACTTTTGACCGATCAAAGAAATGATATCCTCGACAGATAATATTGTCTTCTTCGCCGTGCACACCTGCGCGCGAAAGTGAAGAAAATTTACAACAAAGGAAGAAGGAACAAAAAAAATTGGGGGAAATCGAAGCAGTTATGTGTATACTCACTTCCACGCGACAATCCTGCTCAACCAATAGATTAATCCATCGCGTTCCAGGCATAGACTTGGTGCTAATGACTCTGTATTTGCCATTAGGATTGTAGACCTCAATTTGCAGTGGCTTCGCCATTGGCGCCGAAAAGCATAAAATTGTGGAGCTTGGCGGAGCAATAATCGTCGTCCACCTCCTCTTGGACTGAGTCTGAGTGATGGTATAAAAGGGTGTGGACTTACAAAGAGTGGTGATGAAAGATCCAACGGCCCAGATCTTGGGGCGTTGGACGGCCATGCCGCAGCGGATTGTACAAGTGGAAGGGTTCCATGGAGGCCTCTCGTTCCATGGATAATGCAAATTGTAGGTTCGCGACACGTAGACGTAGTAAGAGACGGCTGGCTATCTTTTATCCTTTACAGAATCTGTGCTTCCAAAAGGCTGAGCTATTTGATCCACAAATGGTACATACATTAGTAGATTGCTACAGTTTTCCATAATTGATCTGGTGATGAGTTTGTTTGTGTTGAAGAAGCAGCAGCAGCAATACAAATTGGATTGGCTAATATGTTTGTTATTAGATTTTATCAAAAGCGTGCTTTACATTTATAAAGTTTGTTTTGCACTTCTTCCTTGTATATAGCGCTTCTTCCTTGTATGGTGCTGCTGCACCATATAAAATTAATCATGACCATTGGATTGTAAGAGAGATTAACGGAGGATCATATTAATCCAATGTGTAAAATGGTCCAAATTCACAAATATTAATTTTGGAATTGATTTCCTCATTTATGAAAAAGAGAATAAACATTACAATTATGAAAAGTAGATAATTGAATTATTTCACACGTATTTAGGGCATTCCCATCTCAAAGCAAGAAAAAATAAGATTTTCTTACTGATTTCTTCAATCCGGGTTTAACATCATCCAAAAAAAAATCATGGATGAAATTGAAGATGTAATGGACGTTGTGAAAGGCACTGGAGAAGAGGATCACAATCAACAATATTTGAACTCCTGTGAGTTTTCGTATCAAAAGTAATCCTTTGAATGGTTTTATATTTTTCTGCATCATAAACACATGCATTTTACAAGCATATTATTGGCGAAATCCATACAACAGTCCTACAGTTGATGTCCCTCCTACTATATCCATATTACGAAGGGGGATGAAATATAATGTTCTTCGGTATGACGTATTTCTCTATCATATTTTCCAACAAAACAAACTAGCAACAATATTGGGTCCTGATTTATTTATCTCCAATACTCGTTTAATTTTTAAATTTTTTTGAAAGATTCATCCAGTAAATCAAATGTAACAACAATTGTATAAAAATCTATGCTGGTGGGTTGAGAATAATGAATTTAGTCAAACATATATGCATGAATTAACGAAATATTGAAATTATTTTTCAACATACCATAAAATTAGCACACGATTTAGCAGATTATATCATACTTTATTTATCGGCGGAATTGTAAGGTTATAATTTGCAAAAATATAGTGTATATTCTAAGCTAATTTTTACCTACATAAATAAATAAATTTACTATTTTACAATAATCTTTACAAATAAAATGAGTTGTATCATAGTTTGGTCAATTAAAGCACTCACAAAATTCTCGTATAGCATATCAAAGTACTTCAGAAAGCATATTAAAATATTATATAAAACTTTTTGTGTAACCACTGGCATCATATATTCATGCAGACCATTATGATTGGACATCCTTGACTTTTTCAAGCCGCGAGGTTGCATACAGAACTTATTGTGAATATGCTCACATGCGGGGATTCTCCGTTCGGATTCAAATGCAAAAAAAGTTGAAAACTGATACCAATTGCGTGCAGTATATACTATATTATTGTAACAAACAGGGGTAAAAGAAGGATAGTCCAATTCAAAGTAATAATATCGCTAATTATTGCGATAACATTTCTACTTCATCCTATACCACAAATGTATGAAAAAGACACGAAACCCGTACAAGATGTGACACACGATTACAATTGCAATATAACGAAGAGTAAAAAAAATGCACTGTACCCGAATATGTTGGCGATCACAATCATTAGCTGCATCCAACTTCCCACAAGCATTTGCTGATTTCAAATAGATTAGTGGATGAGGCACAAATGATGATAGCAACAATTAATAATGAAGTAAGACTTTCTTTGAGATCGTCGTATGATGTAACGAGGATAGCAGCAGGAAGAAAAAAAACTCTAGGATTCCTAAAATCTGATCTGAACAACCACATTAAGAAAATGAGAAACACAACTCTGAAGTATGGGGAGTTAAGTGCTATATTACACTATCTAAGTGAAAGATCATTCGAAGATCCATTTTTCTTCTATGATATTCAGGTCGACGATGAAGAAAAAATTGCCAATATATTTTGGGCCGATGCTAAAATGAGGTCTGATTACATTGTCTACAGAGACTCCGTCACATTTGATACCCTAAATCAGATAAACAAAAATAGCAGACCGTTAGGTGAGTGTTACTAACATATTATGTTTCTCCATACATCATATCTTAAAAGTTATATGCATCATTTATTTAATAACTGGATAGTGTGATGTATCTTGGATTGTTGCACTAATCAAATGGATTGCATGGCTTAAATACAGGAGCATTCGTGGGGTTTAATAATCATCGTCAAATATCTGTATTTAGAGCAATTTTATGGTACGAAGAGACACATGAATCTTTTGAAATAGCTTTCTAGAACGTTCTTAAAGTGCATGTCTTTAAAGGAACCAAGAATAATTTTCACGGATCAAGATTTAGCAATGGCTCCGGTCATCAAGGATACAATGCGAAATATGTTTCATGCCCTCTGCACCTGGCATATGCAGCAAAATGCCAAAAAAAATCTGAGTGCGTTGTACACACCACGATACAATGCATTTAATTGAAAATATGAATTTTAGGGCATTCGATTATGCATTATTATATATTAAAAATTGCTAATCATATATGTAGATTTTCTTAATAATTTCAAAGGCTATTGTACGATGTTCAAGATGAAGAGCACTTCAACAAGGACTGGCAATGCATGTGCAAACATGTTTCCCTGATAGGCTGCATAAATGGCTCGATTGTATACATCCATTGAGATATCAATGGTCGTTGGCATGGACAAAGCGACAATTTACCCTCGATATGGGGAGCACGCAGTTGAGTGAATCCTTGAATTCTCCAGTGAAAATGTATGAATTAGTATGATGTTGATAATATTATAAAATGTTTTACGTCCCGATGCATATGATTTTGTAAAACTCAGAAAATTATGCAAAGTTATATTATGTAGATTTTTGCGTTCAGACAATAATATAGTTGAATTCTTCGGTCATTTCAATAGAGTGCTGCAATCTAAAAGGGACACAGAAGAAAAAAAAAGATTTTTACACACGGGAACATAACTTAGAAACAATGTATCCATTTAATCAAATTTTAAAATCTGCATCGAAGGTCTACACAAGAATTTTCTTGCAAATGTTTCAAGACCAACATGAACGGTCTTTTGAATACATAGTACAATGTTTATGGGCGAATAAGAGGTATAGAGTATACCATTTTGAACGAGTGGATGAGCGGTACATAGTGGATACCGACATACTACAATGTTTGATAAATTGCAGCTGCAACGTATGGCTAAATGTCGGAATTCTATGTTCGCAGTCAATACGGATGATAGAAAGCTCTTGATAGAAACATGGCTTCCACAATTCAAGACTATACCTACTGTATAAATTCTACATAGGTGGACAAGGAATGCCAACAAAAAACAATATACAACATGTAATAGTTCCAAAAATATAATAACTAGGTATAAATCACTTTGCCAGTTGTTCATGAGCTCGGTTAAGATGCTTGCTTCAAATCAAGAAATGTACGATTCATTCATATCCTATTTCAAAAAAGCTCTAGAAAATTCAGACAATGTTGCATGCACTGACCAACATCCTGGTATTTCATAAATTGCAGATACATTATTCTCTTAATTATACATCATATCAATATTCCAAATATATCATATTCGATTTACCGCTACATCATCTTAAATGTAGGACATTTTGTACAACCAAGTGCGAGATCGAGTTTAACCTTGAAAATAAAGAAAAACCAGCGTGGAAGGATCCATAGAACTGTGTCGATAAGCACAACAGAGCGACAGAAGAAATGCAAATAATTGAACAGAAGACGGACATAAAACACGAGGAATAACACAATTAAGTAAATGAACTTGTTTACACAAAATCCAACTGTGTAAATGTTGTGTTTGGTCTTCAAAATAAATAAACTATAATTTGAAACTTTCGCAGAAAGCCAATTAGTTGAGTTATTTTTATTGTACATGACAACAAAATGCTTATTTTACTTTTTGTATGAGTCGTACGATATATAATAATTAAAAATTTATCATGCATTACAATCTCGACCGTAAATACTGGATAATATGTTTGACATGGTGCATTAACAGAAAATAATGTGCACCATAAGAATAAGAAGTCTGGAGATAATCAAAATATTTCATCATCTAGCCTGGCTTGATTAGCATATTCATCTAAATTGTGTAGCATATATTGTTGAATAGATATGCCCACCAAACAATAAACTTTTACAAACAAATAAAGATATATGTTGAAACTATCATATCGGGATAAGTCACGTAAATCACCAAGCATGTATTGTTGGCTACTACAACAAATATATATTTAAAAAAATATTGGAATCTTGTAAAGAATAAAAAATTCATCCAAAGTGAGTCTAAAACATTGTACATCTGTATAATTATCCCACTCATCATACTCATACAAGATACTTAGCTAACCACCTAAATAATGTGGCATATATTGTCGGCTAGTATATCAACATACATTTACTATATTAAAGAAGAATCTAATGCAACCATCATTTCCACGTGAGACAAATAGTGTATCCATATATTGTATACAACATATATTGTACAACATATACAGAACACCCATACTATAATATTTGCAAATAAGGTTATATTCCAATCATCATATCCTTACAAGATAAATATCATATTCACCTAAAGCATATAACAATATTGCTGGCAAGTGTATCAACAACACAATTATATATTCAAAGCAAGCATTGTTGAAAACATCATTTTTTCCAAAACAAATTGTCCCAAACATGTACACGTAAAAGATATCTACCATATAGTGCATCTAGACCCTA